TTAGACCTCAAAGTAACATCCTTGTATTTCAACACTTTAAAGGGATATTGTGCATCAGATTTACCCAATGCAATGTGTCATTTGATCTAATTGCTGCTTCCATGAGCATCGATTGTGCATTGAAGATGAAATCTTTAATAATTCCAACTTTTTCTCCACATATCATGTTACCTCCTGATCCATTTATGAGGTTTTCCCTCCATTGAGTAGTCATCCATACTCAAGGTTACCATCCTTGACCTTCATCAGCAAGTGCTTCAAGTCTTCCTCACTTGCAGCAAGAAGGCCGTGCCATCTGCCTACTGCAGGTGGTTAAGCCTCACTCCAATCCTGTTGCCGCCTTCTTCTTGTAATACAGCTTCTCTGATTATGTGCTCAGCATTCAGATTGAATAAATGTAGTGAGAGGATACAACACTGACCGTTTTCCTGATTTTAAACCATGCAGCGTGCCCTTGTTCTGTTCACACAACTGCCTCTTGATCCATGTACAGGTTGTGCATGAGCACAAGATCGTGTTCTGGAATTCCCAGTCTTCTCAAGCCTATCCATACTTTGTTACAATCCACATAGTTGAATGCCTTCGCATAGTCAATAAGACACAATTAGACATATTTCTGGTATTCTCTGCTTGTTCCACGTCCTCTTCTGAATTCAGCCTGAGCCTCTGCCAACTCCGTCAATGTACTGCTGCAACCATATGATTTTCTGATTCAAAATGGTTACTACCAGTCCATTTCAGCTCATTAATGCCTAGAATGTCAATTTTTCTGAATTTCATTTAACTTTTTAAAGTTTCCAATTTTCCTAGATTCATACTTCATATCTTCCATGTTCTAATTGTTTATATTTGTAACTGTTTCTTCTCATTTTGAGCCTTGATCCATCAGCAAATGAAGGTCATGAAGCATTTACTCCCACAGGCTTTACTGCATCCATGTCATGATGTTCAACTCTACTTTGAGAAGGCAGCTCTTCCTCGGTCATATTTTGAGTTCATTCCTCCCTGAAGGAGCCCTGGTGGGTAGCAGTTCAAAATCACCAGCTGCTCCATGGGAGAAAAACAGGGAAAGACGGGCCTTCTACTCCTATATAGAGTTATATTCTCAGAAACTCACAGGAGCAGGTCTACCCTGTCCGAGTGGGTACCAATGAGTCAGCATCGACTCGATGCATTGAGTTTGGTCTTAATTTGTTCTGACCTGGGGGGCTCATCTTGTGGCACTATCTCTGACAATGTTCTGCTTCTTTTCTTGAGGTTTTCGGTATCTGACAGAGTTTTAATTCTGTCTATAAGGTTTTCAGTGGTTAATTCCTCAGAAGTGGACAGCCTATTCCACCTTCTTAATCTGCAAGCTCTGCAGAAACCTGTTCACATTGAGTGACCCTTCTATCATTCGAAATACCAGTGACATTGCTTCCAGCCTCACAGAAACACACAAGCCACGACAGTAAGACAAACTGACAAACAGGTGGTGGTGGAAGTTAGTGATTGCCATTGTGCAGCGCAGCGATTTACTGAACATGGCCCTTGTGCTATGCTTGACCTTGCAACTCCACTCTCCAATGATGACTGAGTAGGGCTGTGCAAATAAGATGCTGTGGTCCACCAATGGGATTGAGCAGCTTGACGGTTAAGGCTTAGTGTCAACTTGGCTAAGTCTGGATTCTTATTGGTTTGGCAGCTAAGATCTAGTAACACACCCATGATGAGATCTCCTTAAAGGTATGACCTGCTTTCAATATAAATGGACCCCGTGGGAAAACTTGCTTGCTTTTTGTAGTGTGTGAATCCTGTATCTAGCTCATCAACCTCCAGTTCTTTGGACTTGAGCTAGTGGCCTGCCTTTTTTGCCTGTTGACTTTGATTCATTCACGTCTGTAGCCAGAAGCTTGTTACCTGATCTGAAGTTTGTGAGTTCTTCAACCCCTGTAGTCGGGGGAAGCCTCCAGCTTGACTTCTGACCCACGGACTTGAAATTTACCTGCTTCTGTAACTATGGGTCCCTGTGAGTCGGAACTGACTCGATGGCCCCTAATGACAACTGTTGAGGAACCCTGGTGGCACAGTGGTTATGCGTTGGGCTGCTAACCATAAGTCAGCAGTTTGAAGCATCAGCCGCTCGGTGAGATAAAGGGGGCTTTCTACTCCCATCAAGAGTTAGTCTCCAAATCTCACAGGGGCAGTTCTACCCTGTCCCATAAGGTCACTATGAGTTGGCACAGACCTGATGGCAGTGAGTGAGTTTTCTACGACTGTGGAGCCATTTCCTTAATACAATCCTGGCTGTGTGCTGTTGGGAAGTGTTGGGCTACTAAAGGCACCAGCCATCCTACGATAGAAAGATGAGGCCATCTGCTCCATAGATTCACAAGCCATGGAGACCCTATATCGGGCTGCTGTGAGTCAGAATCTACTCGACGGCAGTGGTGGGTTTGATTATCAGTGTATATGGACATATGTAAGCTTCACTGGTTTTGCTTTTCGAGAAAACCCAGCCAAAAACATATAGGTGCCTCATGCAAATAAGGCATATGGAACCCTTATGGGGGTGGGATTTGAGACTGGACAACAGGGATGAAAGCCCAGATTTCCAGCTTTATCGCCATAGCCTTCATTGGGCTACCTATCCTCCCTCACCCCCAACTGTGTACCAGCAAACTTTTCCTTCTTTAACTTAATCTCACTCATACCTCTCACATCTGATTGAAGGTGCATGAAAATCTAATGGGATAGAGCAGGAGTGTCAAACTGGCGGCCCGTGGGCCGCATGCAGCCCCCAAGGTAATTTTTTGTGGCCCACAATGCCCTGAAATAAAATGTAACGAGGGAATTGTGTGTACGGTATTGCCTCAATCTCCCCTAAG